TATCTCGAATTAAGCAGGCTTCATGTCCCGCAAACCAAAGAAATAATGCCAAACGCATTTTGGCACTATACACTTTAATTTCATCCAGCTTTCGGAACTCTTCTGAAAATTGAAATTTATTACTAAGCATTTCAAATACGTCTCTCCTCACACAAAAATGCATCTGTGCACTTTAGAATTACTTCAATTTCTTTTATTTCTTAAAGCGGCAATAACAATGAAAATAATCGTCCACACTAGCTTCGGAGCTCTCAATTTCTGATGAGGATAAAAACGAATCATCTGAGTCTGAAGAATCTAGATATTCTTCATGATTTCGGTAAAAAATGTATACGTATACAAATCCATATATCTAAAACATTTGATATTTATCAAATGAAAATTCAAACATTCAACTGTTTTGAGAATTTCTACGTGGAAAGTGTTTAATGAGACTTCTGCTAAGAGTTGCTCTTCAGTTTTATGACAGTTTTTACCTTGCTCTACTCTGTTTTCAGTCTCAATAAACAAACCTATTATTTCGTAGACGATATATCGAATTAAGAGAGAAATAGGAATGTGTTGGATTCAACAAAGAATATTAGAGAATTAAGACATTATATTCTTGGAATTCGGAGGATAAAGCACAAAGTACTAGGAAATGTTATAGGTGCAACAAAGAGAGTGTCCAAATACAGGTACAAGCAATGTAACGAAAGACATCTACAGCAAAGAGTGCAAGAAAAGGAAAAAATAGATATGTTAGGAAACATAAGCAACGAGTGAAGAAAATAGGGTTAATTTTTAGTGACGTAACTATAAACAATATTATATTTAATGCGCTGGTAAATGTCTGTTGGCCTCAACAACTGCGCCGTGAGTTCTGGTTAAAGAAGCGAAGGATATGGGTCTGGTAGTGAACGGGGGTAAGAGGATATATCTGCTGTCATCACACAACCAATTAATGCATTGGCGAATCGACTCCCACGTCACTGTTGACATTCAAAACTTTGAAGTCGTAGATAATTTCGTCTATCTAGGAACCAGCATCAACACCAATAATAATGTCAGTCTTGAAATCCAACGCGAAATCACTCCTGTCAACAGGTGCTACTTTGGACTCCCGTCCTGATGTATGGTGCGAAAGAATGGACGATGACAATATCTTATGCGTCGGCTTTAGAAATTTTCGAAAGAAAGGTTTTGAGTAAGATTTATGGTCCTTTTCGCATTCCCAACAGCGAATATCACAGACGATGGAACGATGAGCTGTACGAGTTATGCGGCGAATCAAAAAGCAGCGGCTATGTTGGCTAGGACATGTGGTGCTTATGGATACGAATACTCCAGCTTTAAATGTTTTCGATACAGTACCCGCAGGTGGAAGCAGAGAAGGAGAAAGACCAAGTAGGAACTGTCTGTCACCAAATAGCAAAAAGAAGAAACGAATGGCGCAATAATGTTAAATCGGCTATGATCGCGTGGGCGGTGTCTAGTCCAGTGATGTCAATTGTGTATCAAGATATATTATACGTTGGTAATGATAGGTGAGATAGAACTTAGTGATGTGGCAGAAAATCTATTTCGAATTGGTAAGAGCAAGCTTAGGACAATAGACAGATTTATGACCAATCTGAAGGTGGGCAATAAAACTTGGAAGGTAACATTTAATGTATTACGGTAGCGCGATATTCCTTTTCGGTCACAATAACTTATAGATGTTGAGTTGGTTTTTAAGAAAGGAGCTGTAGAATTCAAAAAACCAATCGAAGTGGATGGAGAAACATATAGTGGGACACAAGTTTTTTATCGGTTCAGCGAAATATGTATGCTCATAGTGGTGTTCGGGCTTAGAATGCAGGAGAGCATACGAACTTGTCTTGAAGTACATTAGAAGCAAAGATCGAAGAAGTCGAAGAGCCAGGAAATGAAGTACATGTGCAACAAACGGCAAAATAGTTGCCTCGTGATGAGAAAAGGTATGACGATCGGGATACGAAATTTAAAGCGTTGTGTCTAATTAATTCTGAAATAGACATGGAAACCTATTGTAATGATTTTTCTCAGTTGGGTGAAAGGCAATCTAAAGACATTAAACGATTGATTTCGGAATGCAAAGCTAATTAACACTTTTGACACATTAGTACAAAGGAAACTTATTTTAACAGCCCAGAATCGAGTTTATCAAAGACCACGACGAATGTCATATGCGGATCAGCGGTATATAGAGAGGAACAGGTAGTGGATATGCTTAAAGATTGCATTATCCAGAACAGTATGTCGAAGTATGCATCTCCAGTTTTTAAAGGAAGAAGAAATATGGGACTAAGCGGTTTTGATGCGATTTTAGGAAGATAATTGAGAAAGATATTTGAAATAATTTAACAATGAGATTAGGGGATGAAAATTTAGATAGATTATAGGGTGCGAATATCTTTACTAAACTTGATCTAAATATCAGGTTCTATCACGTACCAATCGAGCCATACTCTATTAAATATTTATCTTTTAAAACACACAGTGGACAATATAAGTTTTGTTTTGTTACATTCGGAATAACCAACAATCTAGCAGTCGAAGGATGTCAATGTGGGTTTTCAAAAGTTGAAAATGGTCTTGAAGCTAGCTAGTGAATATGGGTTACGTATAACGTGAAAAAGTGTCATATGTTGAGAAAGAAATAAAGTTCTTTATGCTTAAGAATAAAAAGAAACTATAACGGTTTTTAGATTTGCAGTCGAAGGATGTGAATGTGGATTTTCAAAAACGTGAAAAAATGTCAGATATTGACAAAGAAATGAAGTTTTTTATGCCTAAGAATAGAAATAAACTACAACGGCTTTAAAATTGTCATAGTTTTTCAATGTTTTGTAAGAAATTATCCAATGGTAGCTTCGAAGGGAAAAAAAAATTAAAATTGATGTTGATGAGTTACTGACAATAGACGAAATGAAGAGCGCTATGGAAAATGCACCTGCTTTGAAAATTTTTGATCCCAGGGCGGAGACAGAGATACATGTGGATGTATTTCAGTTGGTTTCGGAGCTGTTTTATTGCAAACTACAATAATTCGGAAAGTTGTTTGTGGCATCCGAAAATATAGGAAAATATGAGTAGGAAGTCTTCGGCAGCTAAAGAAAAATATAGTAGATTGGATTTAGAGGTTTTTGCAGTTGTAAAGGATTTACAAAATGGTGTATATATGCAAAAGATATCTAGTTTAAAAATGTGGTACGGCATTTCCACGACAGCCCAATAACGTGTTTAGCTCTCTCAATCGGAACTCACACTATTTGTAAATATATTAAAGAAAAAAGTAGAAATTCCTAAAGAAGCAAGCCTATACATTACCAATTCAATTCGATACTTTATAAACTGATACTAAAATCTTTCATGTTTCATGCTATTTCAAATGGAACAAACAAGCGAAACCGAAAACTGTCGAATTGCTCTTTCACGTGACGTAGAAAAGCCGTATTTACGCTTTTGTCACGACAGTGAAAAAACAGAACGTACCGGATAGAGTGATGAGATGGGATATGTATAATATTTGCAGGAGTAACGCGTATGAACTTACGTAAACTTGTATTTTAAAAAGTGACTCAGTATTGTGATCATGGGAAGAAGTTGTTAGTAATACCTGTGAGTATGGAGAAAAGCTATTTAATACCCAATTTGTCGAAGTTTATGCGGAGCGAAGTAAAAGAGAGGCGTTATTTACACCACTTGACAAATCCTAAAAGCCTTTAGGTACATATATAGATCATGTCGGTCCGTTAACGGAAACGAGGAAAAAAATTCATTTTGAGTAGATAGATCTTCAAAATTTACTTGGTTGTATCCGACAAAATCAACTGGAGTGAATGAAGCAACCCATAAACTAATTAAACAGTCTATTACTTTTAGAAATGAGAATCGAATTGTAAAAGATAAAGGGGTAGCTTTCACGTCAAATGTTTTCAAAAAGTACTGCACCAGCTCCGCGGAGGAATGGGAGTGGAGCCCATTCACCAAACGGATGTTCCAATGTTAGCCAAAAAGTGTCATAATAATCCAACCCAGTGCCGAAAGTGCAACATATTCTGAACAACACCGCACCTAGGGCATCTAAAATATGAGCGTGACAAAATAAAACAGAATGGTCATGAGAATATCAAAAAAATACCAAGAGTAAATTGTAAAACATTCAGTATAGACCGGAAGAAAAAATAAGTATGAGGTTAATGATTTAAATGCAATCAAAAAGACGTGAAACTTAAGCATGGGAGGTACTCAGTAGAAATATAGGGAGTCAGGAAGCGCCGAATAAAACAATTACTCTAGCAGAAAATATGAAACGATAGGTCTAGTTATTTGAGGTCAAACAACACATCATTAAGACCGTTTTTGGGAAGGTAAAAAAATAAGTATCAGCGTCCATCATTTTTAAAAAGAATTGTATATTAAAATAATTTAACAGTCATGTATTTTAACTGTATTAAAGCAATATAGAGCAATAAATGAACTGTAAAATATTGAGAGAAATTATAGTGATTTGTCCTTTATTCTACATGTATTTTCGACATGAAATAAGGGCTCTTGATAAAAACCATCAGCCATTCGAAAAAGGATTAGCATAAACGGTTCTTCAATTTGTTGAAAAAATATCAAAACTCACAGCACACACAGGTGGAGATCGACCTGAAATCGCTTCAGCAGATACAAAAATATGTACACTCGTTTTATGTTAAACTTAGATATTATACATAAATATTTAATATACATATTTGCTTATTAAAAAAATGGTTATTGTACCAAGTTTTTTAAGCGCTCTTTCAATAAATACACGAATAAAATGTGGAGTGGGTTGAAACTACAAATTTTTATGAGGGATCTGTTTTCAGAGCATGAAAATTTCATTTTCGAAAGTAAAAATGAACTGTGTGGAAACATGCCTAATAGTCCTGTTCGTTCGCATAGCAAATAATTGATTTTTTTGTTCAAACTAAATGAATTTTTTTGAAATACTTTAGATTAATTACCTCACTCGCTTCTCGATATTATTGCGAAAAACTTCACGAAAATCATGTTGTGAGCACGCCCCAGAATGTACCATTTTTTGAACCCTATCGGATTTCAAAAACACATCATGATAGCTTTGTACAGCGTTTTGAAAAGCTTCATCTGCCATAATTTGTGTTTCGCCTTTAAGAAAAGCCTGAGAAAAAGTAATAAAACTTGATTATGAATTCTAAACTAATAAAATTGCTTACTTGGAATCGCTGAGTTATCATGTCTAGTTGTTGCTTGGCAATTTTAGGCTGCCGCTTTGTCATGTCCGTCGGCTGCTTCGCGTTAAATGGATACGCTATACAACGTGAAACAAACACATAAAGCTGTATGCGCCGTTTACGATCCGCTTCTTCTCGTTCATGTTTTTCCTTAACAATACCATCATGAAAAATTTATTAATGCCTTGCCTTTTGCATTTATATTGCACATTGCAATATACGTAATTATGTTAACATTTGAGATTTGTTTTACTTTTTATCTACTTTAATCTTATGTTATATTTTATTTCATTTGTTTTGATTTTACTATATTTTTATTATATTTTTAAATTTTTTGTAAATTTTTTTAATATTTGTATAAAGTCGGCAAAATAGGATATAATAGTTTGTTTAAACTTACGTGTACATCTTCATTATTTTTATCGCTCACAACCGATGGTGAAGGCGATATCGGTTGAGGTAGAGAATTTGCGCGTGATGAGCCAACACTTTGGTTAGATGTCTCTTGTGATATACCGCTAGAAGTTCGTGGCGCGATAGGAGTTGAAAATTTATTAATATTAAATATAGTATATTTAAAAGCAATATATTTAATTTGTGAGTTTGTCATAGGTAGTTCGCAGCAAATACAACAATACTATTCATTACAATATCAGCATCCCTGCCGAAGTGCTATTGTTACAGGAGGCATACACCTTTTGCTTAATTGTGTTTGCATATGATGCTGATGGTGAGCGGTATGATGCAAATATTGTATTAACTGTTGTGTTGTGGAGGAGAATGATGAGTTTTTTGTACGCATATGTTATTGTGATTATGTCCCATATTATACACAAAAGAAGTTGTAGATTGAAACCAATTTATTTCCTTCAAGAATTATGCAGTGCGCACACACATATGTATTGCAAAAGAGTAAATATGGTACGCTGTTTATTATTAAAATTTATTCAGATATTTGGTATGCAGTAGTTTTATTGATTCTTTGACACAATTGTTCATGTTAAGACTTATGCTGCAACTACCCAACTCACGTACCATCCGTCCATAGTAACCTGTCTTAAGAGCACGCCATGTAAACACAAAGTTGTCACCGCTTGCCCATGCCGTTAGTGACTGTTGTCCCGCAGAAATCAACGGCGATTTGATTTTTTCCGTAAAATCGGCTCGGCTCATTTTTCGTTGCTATACAAGGTTGCCAGTATAGTTTTTCTTAAAGTAATATTAAATAATCGAAGAAAATGCGTAGTTTTTTTTCATGAGAAATGAAAACTAAATGCGTACCTAATTATTTTTTATCAAATAGATCTTGTAAATTTGTCTTGCGTTTATATTCAAGCATATAAACTATGAAATTCGTTGACGAAAATTATGAATATGTTCAAAAGTGTGCAAACATACTGGCAACTGGCAACATTTCGCCGCTCTCAGCAGCGTCGATAACTCGTGCATGTATCTCGCCTCGACGTCGCCTGTTATGGACGGATGGTAAGTAAAATGGGTAGTTGCAACATCAGGGTGCAAAACAGAGAGAACAAACGAACGAATCAATGCTCTTTAAAGCGAAGTAGTGGTAATTTGTCATATCTATGTATAAAAAATTATGTAAACTGAACACATAGCATATTCGATCCAATGTTTATTAAATGTACACTAAAGCGACTTGTTCTTTAACTTGCAAAACTAATTACAGAGCCTTTTTATTCAAAAAACGCATTCGCTTTAAATATATTAGCAGCCACTGAGCTTGAAGCAATATATAAATGGCTCCCTAAAGATAGCAGATAAAGATAAAGCCTGCGTTATTCGAGCATAATCTTTTGTATTGTAATAATTTTTTCATCATTTAATATTTTTATTTGCTTTAATTAGATAAATGCAATTAGGAGTGCAAATGTTTGGTATAAGGCGATAGATAAAAGTGATATACACACACACTCAAATGAAATGGTATACGACTTTAGATAATAGTTTACCTAGGTATAGCACTGCTTGGTACTTCTAAATTTCCAGATATATCACTACCAGTCATCAAATGGGCTCCGTGCTCTAACTTTTCGTTCCCAAATCCCGCTGCACTAGAATTATCAAAAACATTCGAAGAACCACCAGATGCTCCTCCATGTGATCTATTTGAAGCAAGCTGATAATGTTCGCCATTATGCTTAGAGTTGGAAAGGCTTGTATCGGCAGTAGCAGCTGCAAGATTAACGTTCGGTCTGGATGCGGATGTGGAAGATGCCACCACAACTGATCGCACTTTTTGGGGTACAGCAGCAACTGGATCATCATCGCCTTCTTCTTCACTTGAACTTGGATCGATCATAGTTAAATAAGTTTTATTGTTTTACAATTGGTTAATTGCAATTGTTGTTTAACGCTCTGCCGTATCTGTTACCGTGCTTAATAATAGATTAAGTTACCTAAAAAATTCAAAATTTATAAAGTGTATGCTTTAATAGCGACAGGATGGAATGTACTAGAGTTAGTAATAGTTGTAAAACGTTTCTTAATTATTATAAAATTTGAACTTGATTGAACTTGTTCTAGAAAACATGCGATGGGTATACAAGTGGAGGTACTCATTTAATGTGGCATTTGTCAAGTAAAAACTAATTTTTTAGAGAATAAGTGAAAAACAAAGGCTTCTTTAAATTATTGGAAATATCAACGATAATGGTTAGATGATTGGTGAGTTTTTTTGCGAGGACGAATTCGAAATAAATTACATTTTTCGACGACGAACCCAGCGTTACCCACTTTCCGCCCTACCGACCGATGGGTACGTTTGAGGGATAATCGAAAAATTCAGCAGACCGGTGACCGAAAACAAGTTTTGTAAGAAAGCAGGTTCGGAATTGCTTTTGTACCTGTTCCAATTTATCACTATATATTTGATAGTGCGGACTCTACACAACCGAGCCATATTCCAAAATGATCCTAACAAATGAGATCAAGAGTAATTTGGTAATGTATGACTCCTTGAATTCCTTCTCCCAACGTTTAATGTAAGCTTAACGCCTTTCGAAAGGAATTTGAACATGCGCTTAAAGCAAAAATATCAAAAATTCATGTAGCACTTGCGAGCTACCAACTGTGCCACAGCACCACATAAGAAGCTTTTAGCATATTCTGCACTTATAACGAACCATGGAAATTTAACATTGATTTCTCTTCTTTTTATTCAGTTAAGTACACGAAAGACTATGTTCTCCCCCCGCGCACTTTGTCCACCATCGACTTCGCTGATTTGTATAGTGTGCGCGCGTGTATGCGTATAACACGTTCATGTTTTCAAAAGGGCATACTCATAAGTTTATGTTAATTAAAGGTATAGTAATAATTGATCTTATAACATTTTGATTTGATTTGACATTACTAAACTATTTTAGGTCCAAATTAAAGTTACATTTTTTAAAGTCGTATGCTTGACGTCATTTACTTACTCTACTGTCGTAAACATCGCTTACGCGATTATAGCCGATTCAACAACACTGCCCCTTCCGTTTCTTCTTATGGCTGTTTGAAGTCAATTTGAAATATCAAGTACAGCCAGGTCCTTCTCTACCTGGTCTTCCCACCGGAGGTAAAGGACGAGAACGACGAGGGACTTCTAGAGTTTGGTTTTCGTTCGTCGGGAGAGGGCTTTAGTTTTTTAGCTGCCTACTCATTCCAAAGTAGCACCTCTTGGCAAGGGTGATTCTGCGCAGGTTTTCATGGTCGACATTATTGTTATTCAAAGTTATGACTGTCAACAGTGACGTGGGAGCCAAATGGCTAATGCAATGACTGTTTGTGACCCATTGGCTTCTCTTTTTTTCAAGCCTGGAGAAAGCAGGACTAACAACGCAGTTGTTGAGGTCAATGATGTCAATCATCGTCCGCTAGTAGTGGTACACTCTTATAGAAGATAGTACCTTCTCTATTATTCTATTACTATTTTCTCCACCATCAAATTGACGAAATGTTTGAAACGTCGTTTGGAACCGAACGGCTTGGAGAGGTCCATCCCAATTCTGACTGCGCTTCTGGTATTGTCTAGCGTCAGCTTACACAGCCGCATAAGTTTTGCGGAGACACCCAATTCATACATAGTGACGTAATGGCAGCTCCTATTTCTGCTGTCGAAGTGGCTTTAAAATCGACGAAAATGTAGTACGTGGCGATCCTCTTTTCGCGGGTCTCTTGCAAGATTTGGAGAATGGTGAATATCTGGTGAATGGTTGACTTACCAGGTCTGAAGCCGCACTGATAAGGTCCAATCAGTTTGTTCTCGCCAGGACCTTTTAGTCGATACTAAGAAGGCTTATTCCACGGTAATTGGCGTAGTTCGAACTTCTTCGTGGCAAGGTAATGGAACTTCTTTTCCATCGTCATCGTTTGAGGTTTCGGGTTCACCCGGATTCTGCATTTTTATATTCAGCAGGTTAGAGAAGTGTTCCCTCAATAAATTCAATATAATTTGGGCATCGGTGGGTAGATCACCTCTTTGTGTCCTACATGAGTCTTTTCCTGTCTTGAAACCTTCCGTAAGTCGTCTTATCTTCTCAAAGAATTTTCGAGCACTATCCTTGTCATCCAGCTGCTCAGCACACTCACGCTTCTCAGCCTGTTTCATCTTTTTGTCTGCTGATGCGTCCTGCTTCCCTCTTCTTCTCTCGGTAGCCCATCCCGCAAGTATTGTTTTCGATTGCAAGGTTGCGAGAAAGGCGGTCTGTTTTCTCTCCAATGCGACACAGCAGTCCTAATCATACCAGCTGTTTGTGCGACCTTTATGAAATCCATTAGTTTCGTTTGCATCTGTACGTAAGGAGCTTGAAATGCCGTCCCACATACCGAGTTGCTGATGAGTGCTCTCAGAGAGCAGGAGTGCATGTCGAGTAGAACATCGTTCGGCAGTCTATTGTGATTGCAGGTTTCCGACGTCGAGCTTTCGTCGTGTTTGTTGACGGGCGTTCTTCGATATATAAAGGTGAGTGCGTATTCGCGCTGCAACTAGATAGTGGCCAGCGTCGATGTCAAATCACGTTAATTATATAACGAACTATTGGATTTAATATCGACTCCCGCTCGCATCCGCACCTATGGTGAACAGACGCTGCAATTAGATTTCAACAGACCCTTAAACCCAATATGTCGAAGGGTCTTCACTGAAGCATCCTTTCTCATTAGCCGTGACCCAAGGTTCCACGAAGGTCGGTTGCCGCATCTTGCACAAGAGTTGCCTATGTTTCCAGGGTGCGCGACATGGACGCAAGAGTAGGACTTGAGTATAGCGTCGCAACCCAGAAGCTTGACTACACTCCAGGTCATTTCGAGTACACTTGTTTTTTAATTGCAGAACATTTTTTCGCCTTATCGAGAGTATATTTGTGCGCAGCTGGTATAGAAATTTCTTCAACTTCGGATTTTTTGAGCTGTGACTTGCGGCAGAGCTGCGCGGGGAAGAGGTTTGGCTTTCGCCATACATATGATGTGATTGATTTTTGGGTTGAATAATCCACAAAAAGTAATAAATCAATGTAACATTTGAATAAAGTCATAAAATAAATTGCAAAATAATATGAAATGAAATTAAAAAATAAAATATTTATTTCAAATAAAATACTTTTAAGTTTATATATACTTCGGCGCATAAATATGTAAGCATGTAAAAATGGGCATTTATATGTAAAACCTAAAGCATATATAAAGTCACTCAATAACAAATAACTTCAAATATTCCCATTCATTCATAACTACAAACCATTAATCCCAACAACAACTCCATATGCGCAACCCGCTTTACTCCTCTGTGCACTTCTCTATTCAATAAGCTATTAGCTATAAGAAGAAGAAGCATAAACGCAACAATAAGCAACTACCGCATGAAACCCCCTTCCCTTCTACTATTCATCCACAAACAGTTTTCTCAAGCGAAATCAAATTTTGCTAAAAATTAGAAAATGAAGCTCGGCAAAAGCCGCAAACACATACGTTGAAAGCTTTCTAAATGTATACAGAAAAGAAATACACACAAAGTCTTGTGCGATCCTTTTTTCCTTGTTCCCTTCATCATCAAACAGTTTCTCTGGCAAATTTTGCTAAAAATCTGAAATTGAACATACACGAAAAACGCACACAATCTGAATAATGCGCAGGGTTTCCCTTGCGCAAAAACTTATCCATTCCTCGAATCAATAAGCAACTCCATGGCGACGATTTAGGATTTGACAATTTCAAAAAATAAAACGCGAAAATAAAGGAGGCAATAATTTGAACTCACGCAGCTTTGACAAAAATTAATCGACATAAACAAACCATTGCACCAATGACCACTTTGAAATTCTCTTTTCTTAATTGGCACATATTTCAATGGGTAATAGCAGCATTGACAAAATCTGAAATAATATTCTAAAGAATGACTAAATATTTTTGCAACTTATTTGTTAATATTGGATTTTTGGAATCAATTTAATATACTTAATACTTGTTGGAAAAATAATTTTTAAATATATAAAATGATGTTTTTTCATTTTAATTTTAATATTTAATGATTAAAAATATTAGTTATTGATACAAATTCTTATTTATCATCTTTGAAATTGACAACGCAAAAAAATACATTAACTTAGAGAAAATAATTGAATACGATTTCCTTGTTTTTAGCAGAAAATCCATTGCTGATGCATACGCAATTAGCTTCTTTTCGTACAGTATTGCATATTTTGATGCAAAGTAATTTTCTTATGAGAGTCAAAGTAGGTGTTGCGGTTCGCTGCCTGTTTACTTTAAGCGCACATACATGTCTACATACATACATATGATCGAACTGTTATTCGCTAATTCGTAAGCACACTTAAATGCAGTTGCTATTTTAAGTACATACATATTTAACTCGTCCTTTGTTAGTGTATTTTGCTTGGTTATTTGTTAGGTTGCGTTACATCTCTTCACTTTCCTGGCTACCCAATTTGTACGGTAAATACAATTCGCCTACAAGTGTATAAAAACAGATGTATACACAAAACTTTACGTTTAGGTGCCGATCAGCGAAGGAAGTGGAAGATGTACTGCGGTAAGTCTATGTTTCAAGTTTATGATGTTCTTTATTTAAGATGTAATTTTTTTTTAGAAATAAACGAAACCTTTTAAAATACAATTTATTTGGTTCTTGTAAAATTCGCTCCACTGGATCAGTAACATCTTTATTTCGCAGTACTAATTCGGTTTGGTACTGGAATATTATTTGCCTTTTGCCATTGCCGATTATAATTTGGTTGCCATTTGCCGTTCACAATTTACATGGGCAAATCACCTCGCCACAGCCCTCGATTAAATAGTGACACAATGGACGTTAATAATCCAGTATCGACTCCCGCCACGTCGAATACCGCAGCTAAGAAATCTACTTCACAAAATGATACTGCCACCATTGCCGCAGGCACAGCCAGTGCCCCTTCAATTGCTCCTACCTCTTGTGGAACAGTTAGCCGTAACTCTTCCACGCTATCCACGCCAGGAGCATAAACGCCTATTTCAGGTCAGGAAGCCATAATGCAAGCCATGTAAAAGCGTATTGCCTTGTTGGAGAATAGCCTGAAAGCAGCTGAAGTAAAGCTTA